TGCAGTTTAGCCGTGTAAGCTTTTCTATTAACTTTTAATGCATTTACCTACACAGTACACAAACAGTTTCATTTTTACTAACAGGCACGAATAATGGTATCAATGTACTTCTATTGTACACTTGCATTGCAGTTCGTAGATGAAGCTTGTCACCAGATTGAAAGAAATGAACGAAATGTTCGGCAGTTAGGAGTCTTGTCATATATACCTAGGTACTCTATTCACTTTGCTCCTCTGGTCTGACAAACCTTCGGGATACAATTTTAAGCTATTGACATTCTGATTGGCCAAGATACCCTGGATCTGGAAAAAAAAGATCTGTAAACCCGTAAATGGCAAATCTAGTTCTTACATGAAGGATCCATGCCATAATATTGGTTGGTTGAGGCGAAGTGTTTTAGCCTTCTAGGCTTAGACGTTAAAGGCATTTTATCTCCTCTCATTCCCTACCTGAGTTAAAATAATTACTTTAGTAAAGTAAAACATAGAAAAACCTAAAGCAAAACCTTTTGTTGTGGAAGCAAAGGGCGTGCCACTTCACCACTCTACATTACTGCTATCTGTTTTCTTTTCTTCTTTTTTTTAATGTTGCATGACCCATATCTGCTCACAATAAATAAATAGTCATACTTGACTATACTGACTTACCTAATAAGAAATTGTTGCATTCAACAAAATTTGTAACCTAAACTTTCCTTTGAATACAAATTCTTAATAATACAATTATGCCATTACTGCACATGTTTTCACTGCCAGGAATTTCATAGCGGTTGTGGGTGGGGTGGGGGTTATCCATTTGAGTGTTTCCCAATACCATTTTTATGTTTTAGTAATTTAGCTTAAAATGGGGCCTAGTGGTGGTGTCCGTTATCTTGCTATATTTTTAGTCCCACTCTTGTTGTATTTTGCACATATGATTTTTCATTGACTGTTTGATAATATGGTCTATTAGTGAAGTGTATATATGGAATTGAATGCTTGAAATTTTATCTTGTTGTCTGAAATGATCAATCCCATTTATGTGCAATTTTAAATATAGATTTGCCACACTTGCGACCCAAATGGAGCAATATATCCAGGGACAATCAAGGGACTTGGTGGATCAGGCATACATAAAATTTGTAAGTGCTCTTCTGCTCTCCACTTTGATACTGTCATGGTGCCACACAATACAACACGACAGTGACTCAGGGTATTTCATCTTGATTAGTCATTGCCCTGTAATTGGATTGCCAATAATTTGACCTTTTCTTGAGTGACGTCCACCCGTATGGTGTGGTAGTTGGTGGATGATTTTTCTGAATTTGCTGAAACAAAAATTTGGCAACCTCCATTTCAGTTAGGTCAAAGGCTACAGATTCTTACCAATTAGAACTCTGCTGAGTAAGCAGAATAATCTTGATAAGGCTACAAAATGGAGCTGTAGTTTATTTGAAATTGTGCGAATAATATTGATTTTTCGTATGGCCCAATTCATGTTAGAAGTTCATTGTTGTAGAGAGAATTATGGTTCCTACTAAAAGAAACGTTTCATATTTTTTTCAGCCCTCCCTCTCACACTCACGCGCGCACACACACATTGGCCCATGAGCCTATGATGTAGTTCACACTTATTTAACGTATTCAATTTGATGGAAATGCATATGTTTTCAATTTAAAATGTATGTTCATTAGAAATGTTATTATAAAAAACAAATGTTAACAGTCTTAATGAACACAATTAGCACATCATGTGCATCACGAAAGGCCAAACTATGTAGGTGTTTCTCTGTGCTTATAAGCTTGTCAAAATTGCTTATAAGTTGTTTCTAATTTATAAGTCATTTGATGATATGTTTCTCTCTGCTTATAAGCTTCTTTTAAGTCAAAAAAATAAGTAGGTCTTACTTGTTTTTAAGCCAATTGTTTTGTTTCTCTGTTTTGACCAGATTATTTACAAAGCTATCTCTCACCATTTATGAATATCTCCAAATGACTTACTATAAGTTAAAAACTGCTTATCAGCAATAAGCTAATAAGCACTAGCACAGAGAAAAATCCTCTATATATTTCTAAGTTAACTAAAACATGCTTAACATCTATTTCTGGGAATATATTTGGCAGGTTTCTACAATGTTTGCAACTTTGGATAAAATTGCCCAAGCTGAACCTAAATATGCAGATATTATACTTTTAGAGAACTATGCTGCATTTCAAAATAGGTAATACCGTAGTTTATGTTTTTTAAACCTAAATTGAGCAGTTTAGATTCTCACTTGGCTATTGTTGCCTTGAAGGCACTGATGAAAGACATTTGATTGCAGCCTGTATGATCTGGCCAATATTGTGCCGACTCTAGCAAAGTTTTACCACCAAGCCAGTGAAGCTTATGAACAGGCTTGCACCCGCCATATCAACATAATTATATATTATGTGCGTGCATACTTTCATTCATAGTTTATGATATACTACTTTCATGGGTTAAGTGTTCTGCATGTATGTTTGTGCAAAATTTTTGTACTTTTGTTGTTATAAAGATGCGTGTCTTAATATTCTCTGCTGTAATCTGAGACTCTTTTTGTATACTTCCATTCATGGTTATGCGTTCTGTATGCATGTTTGCACATGACATTTCTGAGTTTATTTTTATAAATATGCATATCTTAATACTCCGCAGCAATTTGAGAGACTGTTCCAATTTGATAGAAGAATTAACGATTTAATGTTCTCAATCGCACCAGAAGAGGTCAGTTCAATTGCTGTCCTTTTCATTTTCTATAAGTTATGGACATTATTTTTCAGCTAGATTACATCTGGGAGACTCAATATTTAAATAAAATATATTTAAGGGTCTGTTTGGATCACATAAATGCCAAGGAAATAAAGTATCCGAGAAAATAGCAGGGAAAAATTGGAAGGAAAGAAAATTTGGGGAAAATATTTATAAATTACATCCAATCTTCCATGGTAAAACTGTTTTTAAAACTGTTTTCTTAAGCAGTTTTTCCTTCATTTCCTTATCCTTTTCCTCACACCAAATTACCAAACAATTCCGAATTCCAAACAAAGGCTAGCAGAATGAATTTTATTCCTGGATTCAAAGCACAGCATGATCTGTCTCAGTTTATATATATAAAGATTTGTTTCATTTGTCTAGATCCCGTTCCAGCTGGGCTTGTCTAAGACAGATCTTCGAAAGGTGGTCAAATCTAGTTTATCAGGGGTGAGTCAGTTGTTACAATAAACTTTAAAGGTGGAGATGAGTGGATGTCGGGTAATGATGGATGAATTGGGTGTGCAGGTTGACAAGTCCATCACTGTTATGTATAAGAGATTGCAGAAGAACTTAACCTCAGATGAGTTGCTGCCTTCATTATGGGATAAATGCAAGGTATTATGTAGTCCATCTCCACCTTTTTGGTGCCATATAAGATCAATTGGATCTATTTAATGCCTTGTTTGGTGCACAATTAAGAGTTGTCATATGGTCTTGANATTTTAGTCTTTTAATTGCTACACTCTGTGGTTTTAGATTCATTTAGTCCTTTTGGTTAAGACAGCATTTGGTTTATAAGATTTTAGTGCCACCCAAACCTTAATATCTAATGAGAGGAACCAAGTGCTTCTAAATTTAAAAAATGATGAAAGACTATATTTTGAAACGGTTAAAGTATGGACTCAGTGATGTTTCCTGAACTTGAATGTTATTCCTTGTTCTTTATGTTGGCAGAAGCAGTTTTTGGAGAAGTATGACAGTTTCCATCAGGTAGTAGCCAAAATATATGGCGATGAGGGCATCCCCTCTGTCTCAGAAATGGGAGGAATCCTAGCATCAATGTGACGAACCACACAAATTACCATTCCTTCCTTCTCCAGGAGAGGTTTCTAGAATTCTTCTCTTTCCATGTTTTGTGGGGAATTGGGTGTTATGAGATGTGAATGTCCCATTTGTTTTCAGTTTTGTGATTGGTTCTTGTCATCGTCTCCATTGCCATCGTTCATCTCTGAGCCCGTTCATTCTGTGTATATCTTTATAGAGGATGTTGTGTAGTAGCAATGAAGCTGGTTGAATACATCTTATCTGGGCTTTACTAGTATGTACACTATTATGTACACGAAGAAAGAAAAAAGAGAAGTACTCCGTATCTAATAGTTTGTTCTTTAAAAAAAATTCCTTCCTCCGTCCCAATGTATTGGGCATGTTTTCCTCTTTGATCTATCTTGAATTATTGTGCGTGCTCTAATTTATACTCAGTAGTATCGAATTTTGTAGCTTGTATTGTTTATCTTTCTCCATCCCCATCCCCCCCCCCCTCCCCTCGCCCGCCCCGTATTCTTCACAAAATTGGTCTTGCGAAAAACAGACCCCTGGCTGTCTATTGAAGGCTTCGTATCACGGGCCGAGCAAGCGCACTCATTTGAACATTGCCTCACTTACAAATTAAGAAAAATACCCCTAGCATTGCTCATGAAATAAAGAATAAAAGTTGACATTGGATTGCCAAAGTCCCCAACGGTTAAAATACCCATTATACTAGGGAGTATCAATCATGATTTTTCTTGTTCCAATCATAATTGCTAAATTTGGCCAATCTAGACATTTTTGGTGTTTTGCCCATTGATATTTTGTCAAATGTAGTTGGTTATATGGTAAGTTCAGTTGGTATTTTGTCAAACATAATACGGAGTATTTTTTAATCAGAAACTCATTGGAATTTGGAGCTCAAAAAATGATAAGGAATTATTTTATGTGAATAGTTATTAGTATCTTACTACGGAGTACTAAATTAGGAAATCCATTAAAGTTATTGTTCAAAGAATTTGAAAGGAAAAATAAAACATATAAATGAAAAGAAAAAAATGAAAAGATAAAATAAAATGTACGGAGTACTAAGATGAGAAAAAATTGATTTTTTCTCATTTTAATAAAAAAAATGAAAAATTATTTTCTTACGGGTAATTTACGGAGTAGTATTTTCTCAATATAACTGTATGTCGCCTGCTCAGGCGCACATCTGGAACCCAAATTTCTTTCTTCTCTCCCTTCCATTTCCCGATCGGATAGCTAGTACCTGAAAGTAGTGAGTCCGAGAAAAGTGCTCGATTTTCCGGCGTTAGAGAAAGAGCGGCGGACTAAGGATCGGCTGTCCTTTAGCAAGAGACGTTTAGAGATCGGAGATGGCGCGGCGGTACTTTGTGATCGGGAAGCCCCTGTTCGGTCGCTCGCATTCATTGTTGGCTTCGTACTCTCTCACACGATCACACTTTTCCGGTCACCGGCTTTGGCACCATTGCCTCCTCCAGTCAGTCCCGTCTACGTCTTCATTTTCCAGGTCTAAGAATTTCCTTTTTCCTTTAGGTTTTAATTCATTCTCCAGCTCTTTCTCAACTCGTGGATCAATTTCGATTCAAGATGAAGGCTTTAGGGCTGCTGAATCTGCTGTGCCGGCTGACCTGATTCTTCAAGGCGATGTAGTTGGTGGCAGGACCCTTATAGAATCGATTCTTCCTGTTTCAGCTTTGGTTTCGTTGCTAGATGGCTGCCAATCTCTCACGGGGTTCCCTTGGTGGTTTATTATTGCTTCTGGAACACTGGCAACCAGGCTTACACTATTTCCTTTTGTTGTTTTACAACTCCGCAAGTTGTCTAAGATTGGAGAAATGTTGCCCAAGTTGCCACCTCCTTTTCCGCGGCCTCAATCAGGAAGGACATTTAAAGACCAATTCGAACTCTTCTGCAAAGAGAAAAGAGCAGCAGGTTGCCCTTCACTGTTATGGTTCATCTCGTCGTTTTCTCTTCAGGTGCCCTGCTTTCTCCTCTGGCTCACGACTATGAGAAGAATGTCACTTGATCATCATAATGGATTTGAGTGTGGAGGAATCCTATGGTTTCAGAATTTGACTGAAGTCCCTAATGGTGCCTTAGGTCCCATTTTACCCATACTGATTTCAGGCCTGCATTTCATTAATGTTCAGGTTTCCTTTCGAGATTTATCAGTTACGAAAGTGAATGGCACTTTTGCTTTGTTATCTAAGTACTACAAGATGTATTTGGAAATACTGGCAGTTCCAATTTTGTTTATTTCGTTCAATTTGCCCCATGGGAATGCAGTATACTGGCTTTGCAATAGTTCTCTCACTCTCCTTCAGCAGGTTTCTCTAAGGCATCCATACGTTCGCAAGATATTAAAGCTACCTGATAAGGATGTTTCTGTGCGTGCCGCAATACCAAAAAAAGAAGACTGTGATGACACACAAGTGATGGATACTTCTACAGAGACACAGGAGATATCAGCTGAGAGTCTGTCGGCCCAAGAGCTTGTTAATATTGCAACCAAATTCTTTGCTGATGGTAAAAAAGATGTGGCTCGTCAACTAATGCAACTTGCTCTCGACAAGAATCCGGACTACGCCAGAGCTTTGATTCTTTCACGAAACAAACAAATGGATGGTGGTTTGTCATCAGACACACAAGAACTCCTACAGAGTTGCATTTCTGATCTGCTTCTGAATGCGAAACCAGTAGAAGCTGAGGATGCTAATCATTTGATCTTATCATCTCAATGGGCAGGTGTAGCTTGTATACAACAGGGGAAGCATGAAGAAGGTATTGCACACCTGGAGAAAGTAGCTCTGATGAAGGAGCCAGAGGATCCAAATGCAAAATCACATTACTATGATGCTTTGCTAATGTACTCTGGTGCTTTGTACACTGTGGGCCGGAAAGCTGAAGCAGCCAAGTATTTGCGCATAATCTGTGCTTATGATCCTTCTTGTATATCCTTTCTAAAGAAATGTGAAAGCGACGAATATGATGAAACTGCTCGAGAATCAAATCAAAATGAAATCGTTAATGACCTTGACAAAAGACAGAGAGCAGATTAGTTTTTCTTTAGTAATCATTTAGGCGAGTAATGACCTTTGTTGATTACTCAGAAATTTTGTTTATTATATTCTAGAGTAATAAGTGTGTGCTGCTCTATCAAAATTATAATCTGTAATAATATTGTACGGAGTAGTAAATTAGTATATTGCCTTTTGTCTGTGTCTTAATTAAGTGTTTTTTGTAATTTAGAGGGAAGATGGAAGAAAAACTCAATGCAAAAATGGGAGGGATTCTGGTAGATTGATTGGTTGAAGTTGCAGAGGAATACAAACTGCTTTCTGCTTCCCAAGCCCAATATTTCATAGTCTAGGTTGATCTTCTGATAATCATGTGCTTTTTTTATGATTTTTTTAATGCAGCTTGTTATGGGTTTTTCTGTTGGCCATGAACACGAAGTATGTAGAGATTAGTCTTCAATGTGCGGGGGACTAATCTTCTTGTATTTCTGTGAATGGCCAACAAAAATACCCGTTATAAGTTGCATAAAACAAAGAGCTACATAATTTTCAAAAGATTAATCTGAACTATGAAACTTATGCATATACTGCAATAAGTATTGAAGAAATCCGTAAGTGTAGAAGGTTTTGGTGAGCGATAGCATTCAAGGACCAGAATATAGGCAATAAAGAGTATCAACCAAACCAATCTATGAAAATCCCTTTCATAACAAAAAGGATGAGTCCCTATCCCTTCTCACACCCGGCCGGATGGTCACTGAGAGATGATAAATTAGACTTTAATTGCAGTTGGTGGTAATGAAAATCTCATTCATATTTGCCCTGAGATTTGATTGAGCTTCTCAATATGTCAGGCATGTTATTCTCTATTGCTTTTGTTGTTCACTGTGCCAATGAGACTGCGCACTTGTTGGCGCGTGCTTCTACATTGGGCACGTACATTGGGTGGTGGAGTAAAGGGAAGACTACTCCCACCTCTCTCTTCCACATCAATTTTATAGGCCCAATACACAACTTCTTTATTTAATCCTCATCTTCTACATCAAAAGGACTACTAAAATACTACTCCATCCGTCCCTAAAAAGATTACAATTTTTTTCTCTCCTCTTGATAACTTTTGTTTGTTTACACGATTTCATTAAGTATTTGATAAAATAAAATATTCTTGTCACCTCTTGTTACGTAGAACTTTTGACGTAGTTTTTTAAAAATATGTAATTTTTATATCTTATTGGTATACCAATTTGTAAATAAAATGATTTCAAAAAGTAGGAAATTTTACTTTGTAACCCGCAAATTGTAATCTATTTAGGGATGGAGGGAGTATTTATTACTCCGTATGTGACTTAAATAATTTTATTATTATTAAATATGTATACTATCTACAATTATTTTAATTTACAATTTGATGAAAAATAAAATTGTACTTTTTTTAACGTTTCGACAATAAAATTGTACTTCATTAATAACAATAAAAAAATTAATTAAATTTAATACAATAAATGAATTTCACTCTAAATTAATTAATTTAATAATGGTAAAAATTTTAAAATTATTTATAGATTACGAATTACTAAATATTAATTGCATCAATTGAAAACATGGATATAATAATTAAAATAATTCACCAAAATACATAAAATGTAAACATAAATTTAAATTATATTTATTTCGAATAAATATAATTATTACAAATGTTCACCCTACATATCTATTTCTCTAAAACAAAAAGCATAAAAGTGTAAAATTAATTTTTAGATCTAAAAAATATTAAAAAATAAAATAAATAGGAAAATATAAAAGTAATTTAAAATTATATTTCAAAATAAATTCAACCTATCTTTTTTAAAAAAATAACTAACCCCAACACACTCATGTTATAACAAAAAAACCATCACCAAAATATCTAAAAATATAAGAGTAAATTTATTTTTACAAATGAATTTGTAAATTTTTATTTATGGTAAAAATAATTCTAAAATTTTTAAAATTCATTTCTAAAAATTTAATTATGGTAAATATATAGGAAAAAGGAAAGAAAGAGTAAATGTTAAAAAAAAGGAAGAAAAGTGTGTATGTCCACTTGTCATGATAGGGTTGGCCCAACTCTTTCAATTTTTCCTCTTCTCCAATGCCTTGAAATCTGCGCCGGAGAAGAACTTCTCCATCTAATCCTCCTTTCAATGCTTGGAGTCGCCTGGAGCAGAATGTCCTCCGCCTAAGTCGTCCGCAGGGGCGGATCTACCCTTACAAAATTTACTTCCCTTACAATTATTTCCAAATTTACTATTTTCCCCTTGGCGTTTGCGGAAACCGAGAAGCAGGAGCACCCGCTGCACCGCCAAAGTGCCGAACACTGGAAGTGGAATCCGAACAGGAGCACCCGCTGCACCGCCGTCGCGCGTCCGCCGCGTAGCCGCCAGTCCGCCACATCTTAGAATCCTTCCATCAAGTATCACACAACAGTAGAATCGCACAAGCATCCAGGTATTTCCAAATAATTTTTTCCCTTTTTAAATTATGATCTAAATAATGTGTGATGTGTGAAACTTTTTCCTTTTTATGTGTAATGTGTGAAACTTTTTATGATCTAAAATAATTTTTTTTTATGTGTGTAATGTGTGAAACTTTTTGGATAATTTGTTTTTATTTTTCAATTTTCTATAAAATGAAATTGTTTATTATGTTGATTATTATTGATTAAAACTTATAATTATCCCAAAACATATGAATTGATGACGCTATTCTCTAAAAAGATATTAATTCTCCATTGATATACTTGAATAATTTATTCTAATTTTTGTACATAGATTTAGTAAAAAAGTTTATTTCATTTATATTTTTAGATAATGGAGAAGTTTTTTAAACGGAAGTCCCCCCTCAACACATGATTCTGGACTATCTGTACATTCACTAGCTTAAGAAATAGATTTAAGTGAGGTATGTTCTATCTATTTAATTGTACCTTGTTTTTAATTTAATTTTAATGGTAAGAAGTATGTTCTATCTATTGATTTGTCTTTTGTTTTAATAAAAAATCACTTTAATTTACTTAATGCGCCAGTGAAAAAATTTCTTGTATCCTGGTCGTCCGTCTAATCTTTATTAACTAATTTGGGTATAGACCAAAATGATCGGCTTGCCAAGTTCGGGTTTCTGCTTAACTGTGATTTGGGTACCTACCCCTTCCTGTATCAAGAAGAATCAAAGCATCAATCTTGCCATTTCCTCGCGATCAATGCCCAGCAAGATTGAAGCTACTAAGAGAAGGTAAAAGAAAAAACTCTCTCTGTACTTTTGTCGAACATCTGGTGTGCGTTGCATTTCACTGTTATAATGTGTATGATCTTCCTCTTCTCTTTTCTTTCCTTAAAAAACAAAAAGAACAGTTGCGAATGCTATGACATGCATAAAGAGCTTGTACCATATGCTCAGGCCTGGGATCTACAGAAGTCTATTGTCACTGAACGAAAAGCATTGGTCCAAAGAAATGAAGATTCTGCAGACAATCTGATTGTGTTGCAGCACCATCCAGTGTATACTCTTGGGACTGGCGGGTCTGAAGACTACTTGCATTTCGATACCAAAAATGCTCCTTTCAATGTGTACCGAACTGAACGCGGGGGTGAGGTTACCTATCATGGCCCCGGTCAGGTTACATTTCTATTCTTCTTCTTACACAACACCAAGTTTTAACTTATATGTGTTACATATCTTGTTTGGTTGAGAGTATAAAACACACTGTCTTCTCACTTAAACAATCAGCCAATCCAGAGGATGAAAGAACATGCATGAAACATTTAACCAAATACACAAATTTGTGTTTTTTGTTATTCTTATGTCGAACATGGGTTCAAAAGAGTAAAGACAGCAAACAAGTCTTGTGTTTTTAAAGTTTATATACATTGTTGTGTTTATGTAGATAGTGATGTACCCTATTATGAACCTTCGTTATCAAAAGATGGACCTTCATTGGTACCTCAGGACACTTGAAGAGGTGATAATCCGGGCTCTCTCCTCCTCTTTTTCCATCAAAGCTTCACGCATTGATGGCTTGACTGGTGTTTGGATTGGTAATCTCCTACGAACTCGTTCTTCTGCTTCTTCATTTCCTCTTCTTATGGCCTTTCTTTGAAGCATGTGTTTTTTTTTTGTTTCCTTGATCAGGAGATGAGAAACTGGCTGCGATTGGTGTTAAGGTTTCTCAATGGATAACGTCCCATGGATTAGCACTTAATGTCACAACAGACTTAGCTGCCTTTCAACACATTGTGCCTTGTGGAATCAAAGGTCGTCGAGTTGGTAGCATAAAGGAGATTCTTCTGAGAGAATCTTCTTCTTCCTCTTACTCATCTTGCAATAAAACTGATGATGATCTTCAGCTAATAGAGCTTGCTCATAAGTCACTTGCTCAAGAGTTTTGTGAACTTTTCCAGGTTGATATTTTTATAAATAATGATAATTATAATACTCATAATTCATTTTGGGAAGGCTAATTCTTAACATTTTTGCAATTCAATGCAATATTTCAAAGTGGTTATTTTCTCAGATATTGCTAATAAGTGTATCATTTGTTTATCTTATTGTTCTATTCCCTTGCAGTTATGGATTGATTAGTCCTGTAGGGCAGTCCCTATTTGCAGGCTCAAATCTTCATTTAATAGAAGCGAACTCAAAAGCTTTCATTCTTCCATCCCACTCGGGTGTGTGTGTCTATATACATACATACACACACACAAATATATATATATATATATATATATACATATATATATATATACATATATATATATATATATATATATTATTTTATTAAAATTAAATAAAAAGGAAAGTACAACCATAAGGGGGTGGTCCAAAACCCCAAACAAGAGGACCCAAACAAATGCAAACAGCCAAATAACCTAAAACACAAAAGATGAACAACAACAACAACCAGGAAAGTTAAAGAAAAAGACCCAAAGGTATTAACCCATAGCATCCAGCAGCCAAAGACCTCCTTTACGTAATTGTTGAGATCATCCTGGTCCTTCAAAGATCAGTCATAAAGTAGTTTACCAGTCCATGCTTTAAACCCCTTCACCTTTGAACCTTGAATTGCACTCCCGTAAACTGGTGGTTTTATCAAACAAACTTTGGCTTCCCCTTTCCATGTGGTAGCAAACAGAATACATTCAAAGGAATAAAGGAGCAATGAGAAGCCTACCTAAAGTTCCTGCCATTATAATACCCAGAAGCCCACTCCCAGCCCTTCACACAAGCCATATAAGTATGTTGATCCCAAAACCGATACTACCATTGCATTCCTAGGATATTTCATGAAGAATTTAATCAAGCATAGCCTATAATAGTACTCCTAAAATAATCCACCATATAAGATTCAGCTCCTAGAAACTTATATTAAATCTCCTATGGCTCACTAGAGAGGAAATCTGCCACTGTTTCCTTATCTGCACTGGAGTACGAAATGAAAACAGGATATTTGGCGCCTTCAAAATTAACCATGCTAACCATCTCCATGCTTCTGATTGTTTTCCTTGTTGTCCTAGAAGCTTTTCCCTGTTGATTGTGAAGCAAACCCTTTTTGAGATTATCCAATAACTCTTTTTTTGCCAACGCCTCTTTTATTTGATTCTCCGCAGCTTTAAACAGAGCATTAAAGTATGCTTGGAAGACTGGTAGGAAGAGTTTTTCATCTTCATCGCTGCCCCCTTGTTGCTGTTCTGAATTGGTCTGACCCTTATCTAATCCGTCCCTTATCATAGTTACTTCCTGGATATCTAGGTCTAACATCTCCGAGAAGATTGAAGGCTTCCTCATTTCCAATTCTTCTCCTTTTTCTGTTATTACTGCTTCAGTTTTTTCTTCCTTTTCTCCATACTGTTTTTGCATTGTAGAAGGTTTCTCAGACCCTTTTACTTCCTTGTCTACCCTATCTTCTCCAAGGAAATTTGTGACATTATCCCCTCTAAAATTAATAGCATCTGTGATGGCTTTGACAAAGAGGAAAATGCCTTCAAAGTTGGGTCCTGCTGGTATAAAGATATTTCCACCTCTTCGTGCTTGTTCTACAGTTAATCTAACATAGTTTCCATATCTATTGGAATCCCATTGAAATTTAGTTGCGAGAGAACCTTCGAATCTTGAAACAGACCACCCAACCCTCGCCAGTGGAGGGTGGTTTAAGGTTTCGGCTAACCAAAGTGCAGAAGACTTAGAGATTGAGATGTGGTGGTTCTTACCATTCTTCTCTCGGAGATGGTGATGAAATCTGTAGCTTCAAAAATGAATTCCTTGCTTTCAATTGAAATCACGATCTTCCCCTCTTCTCTAGTCACCGGTCCTCTGATACCCTTACTGGAGAAATTACCATTGTAAGATCTGTCTCTGCTCCTGCCCCAATATTGGCGATTGAAATTGCTCAGTCTTGTAACGTATTTTGGTCTGTGAAACCATCAGTCGCTCCGTCTGCGCTAATGTTGAGGCCATCTCCATCCGGCGTCCCTATATATATATATATATATATATATATATATATATATATATATATATATATATATATATATATATATATATATATATATATATATATATATATATATATATATATATATTCAATTTCTTTTCACAAATTTTAAAAAGTGTTCTTGCAATGACAGAATTATTAAAGCACAAAGTAAAAAAGATGTTACTCCGTGTCTCAATATTTGTCCAGTATTTCTTCATGAGTTGTCCCTAGTATTTGTCTACTTTCTGTTTAAGGTATCATGAACGGAATAAAAGGACTATGACACCTTCCACTTTTCTATTTTTTGAGGCTTATTCATTGTGTCTAGTGACCATTATAGGCTATAGCTTCCTTCAGATACATAGCAATGATTGTACTCTATAGCACTATCTTCAATGGTGATGATGGCAAAAGATGTTGTTCGTGAACCGATGGCTACAGAGAGTGTGCTTCCCGATGTCGATGAACCCTGGCTCCAACCTTATTTTCGATTGATAGCAAGGTACGTTATCAACAAAGGAGTTATGATCTAAAATGGTCACCAGAGGGAATTAGATTCAGTGAGAAGCTATGATGGCTATTTCATCTTTGTTCTCTCATCTTCTCCCCATCCACCCACCCCCCCACCCCGCTGTTCATTGTCACTGGAGTTAGATCATAAAGTTTTGATGTGAAATGTATGCTTTGATTTTTACTCTTGAGCATTGCTTCCTAAAATAATCTACGAGTAATATAGAGCAGTTGCCTACACAGCTATCAGGACTCATCCCATCATAAGTAGTCTGTTCCATTTATAAGACTCCTAGGATATGGACTTCAAGCTCATTTCCATTACCTTCTCATGCAATTCATTTGTTATCTTTTTGTTAGTGAATCACCAAAGTATTCTTTGACTTCATATTGTGAAAAATTGTCTAATGATATCGCGTCTACGACAAATGTGTCCAAATTTACCAGTATACAAGTTGTTCTTAACACATCATATTACTGATTGACAATCACACTAGATAGAAATTTGTGGAACCATTTGTCTCATGTAAGAATATCCTCTAAGAATAGCATTGTCATTAAGTTCTTAACTTTAACACACACAGTCATCTCAGTTCATATGGGAGGGAGAAATAGTTAATCATCTGACCACCATAGCCTTACAAACAACTATGGAATGACCATGAATAAACTAGCTATGCAGTGTGAGGTTGAACCTCAACTGTGTCGACCGATATGCCATTATAACTGCTTCATTTTCCAAGGTTCTTGAAAGAGCCAACATTTTGAACGCGTGGGCAATGACACGAAATGTGCGTTAAGGGGGTAAAATCTCGGTACATATCTTTTCCAATAAACCTACTACTGTACGACCAACAGAAACATGTTTTGGTTTGGGAAAAGGATCTCCTGCTTTTTGGGCAGCTCCTGTTAAACTTGGGCAAATACTTTATTAAATTGATGGTGTAACCAAAAATCTTGTGGAAAGAGCTAATGGTATTGCAGCATAAAAAAATGCCTATAAAAACTCAATTCATTGGGCCAGGAATAAAATAAAATAGAAAAGGTAGACTTAAACAGATTTATTTGTAGATTTTTGGACAAAAAAATTAACTTTTTCTTAAAATGTTGCGCTGATAAAAAATAGAGTGAGAAATAATACGATTCAATATTAACCCCATTTAAATGTAGCTAATAATAACGGGACTCAAAAAATAATGTTTATTCATAGAATTGGATCTAGCAAACGTCCATATGCTCATATTGGTGATATTTTTGTTGTTATAAAAAAAGCTGTGTTACGACTTACGACCCTTGAAAAATCTGAAGTTATCAGAGTCTTAATTGTGTGCACCCGTAAAGAACTCAAATGGGACAATAGGATTATACTCAGATGTGATGATAATGTCGCAGTCATTATTGATAAGGAAGGAAATCCAAAAGGCACCCGAATTTTTACTGCTTCCATTGCCGCGACTGTTGAATGACGTGGAGTCCAGCAATGAAGAGCGCTTCCGGTCAAGGAATGGGATCATGTAATCAAGGCATTTCTGGACATCGTCGTTTTGAAGGGTGAACTCCTCGTCGTCGTCGTCACCAGACTAGTGGCGGCCGCTGCAAACCAGATCGATCTATGTTGTCGACATAATTGCTTCGTACAAAATCCATAGAAATCTTATGCTTTTAGGAGGGATTTGAGATAAGCAATATTTTGGGAGACAATCCAACAAAATCTATGGAGTATTAAAATTCATTGACTTTTGAATACATAAAGATTTTTTAAGACTTTTTAAAATCTTTATTAAATACCTTTGGATTTTTAAAGATTTTTAGAAATCTAGATTGAATGCCTTGAGATTTTGAAAGTCCAAAAAAATCATGCAGACTCCCAATTGAATACACCCCTTAATTGTGTGCACCCGTAAAGAACTCAAATGGGATAATAGGTTATACTCAGATGTGATGATAATGTCGCAGTCATTATTGATAAGGAAGGAAATCCAAAAGACACCCGAATTTTGGTGCAATCCCGCGAGAACTGAGAAAATTAAATTTCACAAAAAATTGTTTGCTTAGCTCCCCAAGCGCATATTGTTGGCGGCTATAAACTCCGGCCATCCCCTAGCTTGTGAATGGTGATGACACACACTAGTCCCTCCATTTTTGTTTAACTTTTCAATTTGATTTGTGAGTCAAACGTTTAACTAACTAGATATCAAAATATACTCTCTCCACTCCTCATTTTTGTCCAGTTTTGACTTTTGGAACTGTTCATCTAAGCACTTTGACTCATCAAATTTTCTCAATGTGTAAGCCTAAATATAGTCATGTGTGATCTTATTTGATTTGTCTTAACATATACAATAGATTATTAATATATAATCTCTATAATTTTTTAATATACAAATTACAAGATAAAATAGATTAAAGAAGTGCATTGGATTGTGTGTAAAAATGAGAATGGACAAAAACTAGGGGACGGAGGAAGTATAATAAATTAAAATATGAAAATTATACCAAATTATTGGTATAGAAAATTCCTTTAAATGCATTATCTTTAATTTTTTTTGCTAAAATATTTTGAGAGATATTAGAAATGGAGGAAGTATTTCGTATTGCCGTCGGGGCACACACACTGAAAGGCTAACCCCATTGTTCCCCACAACCGCCTTTCAAGGTCAATGAAGTGTTCTCCTTCATCCCAGTCGCCTCACAGAAAATCCAAATGAAGTGCTATTACTAATGAAATCCAAAGGCAGGTGGCCAGGTGTTAATAAATTATAAAAGAATTTCATTCATAGTATGCAAAATGAATTCATTTTATTTAAAAATTGATATAGAAATATAAAAAATTATGTAAAGTTACATCAAAAAGTTACTCTGTATAAAAAAAATAATAAAAATATTTTACTTTATCAAATAATTAATAAAACATATAAATAAATAAAACTTCTTACGGTACTTATTGATTATTTTTGAATATTAATAAATAAATTATTGATAAAATGTCTTACCTTGAGGGGAACAAAAAGAGAAAAACAAAAAGATTCCACC